AATCTTACCTGTTACGAAAACTACAATTAAAAGACCAGTATCCACTATGAAATGACTTGCACAACAAGATAGGAGATGAATTTTTGTCATAGTGTGTTTGTTTGAAAATTTTGCAAAGATTTATCCTATTCATACAATTTTTTTCCTAAAAAACATCAAATCAAATATTTATTTTTTTATTTTTTATATTATACTAAACATTAATTTTACATTCAAAACATCACATCAATATTTATTTATATCACATCATACCACTATTTCCATTCAAAATTTTTATTTTTCAAATCCCAACTCAAAATCAAAACTCCCAGACAAACACACCCTAGATTATTTTATTACATCAAGAAATAAACTTTTGTAAAAATTGAAAATGAAATCATACGAGCCGATTTAAGAGTATAGGACATCGAAGACATAAATTGTCATCTCTTTAATATTTCCGATTTATGATATTAAACTTTTGTTGAAGGTAATTATTTTATTATTTATTTATATATTTAATTTTGTTAATTAATTACTTATTAAACATTAAAAAAATTTAAAGGTATTTTGCACCCGAAGGTCAAAAGCTGGTTCTGTCGGTACATAAAATGAAATCACCATAACATAATGCATAATAAATCAATAATGACATCGAAAAACATTGTTACTCCACAATAGAGTCTATATTACACTATCTTTTTAGAAATCTTAAATTTAGTACAACCATTCTTAAACAAATTAATAACGTGTGGTTAATAAAAAAATATTCAAATTATTATTTGACATTATATTTGTGTGTATTTTATAATTAATGCAATCTTCACAAATAATTTGCACTCATATGTCACACTAATATTGTAGTAGTACTTATTAAGATGACACCGAATTTGAATAATACCCACCCAAACCAAATTCATTTAACTAAAATTGAGCTTACTATATATATATATAGAGTGACGGAACCAGCTTTTACGGCTCTCGGAGGGGGAAAAATTATTATGTTTATTAGTTTTATTTTTTTACCGTTTATTTTTAGTTTCAAATTATTTTGAGTCTATTTTTTATTTGAAACAGACATTCGGTTGTTTGTGTGTACAAAAAATAATATAAAAACTTTCTCGTCGATTCTATTAATATTATAATATGGCTGTGAAGAAGAAAAAATGAACGAAAACAATATTTAAGATAAAATATTTTATTTTTTATATAATAAATTTATAAATAAAAATATTATATATTATTATAAATTAAAATAATAATAATATGAAGGTTTATGTAGAATATTAATCCCAAATTTAGGGGACAAATTTAATTACTAAATAAAAAATTAAAAAATTACACTTAAGAAAAATTTGGGAAGGGCTTGAGGGTTAACGAACCCTAAGCCCCAATATAGATCCGTCACTGTATATAATAATAATAATAATAATAATAATAATAATAATAATAATAATAAAATCGGTATAAATTGGATATATAAACAAATAAATTAGATCGGATGGGATCTTATTCGACATAAACCCAAAATAATAAATTAAATTATATATTAATTTGTAATTTAGAAGAAAATTGCAACCCTTAAATCAATTTGCCGCCGTCCCTCACGTCATTGTGGATTTTCGAGTTAAATTTAGGATTTTAAATAATAAAAATTTTAAAGTAATGTAAGTTTAATTTTTTAATATAATATAAAAATAAAAATAAATTTGATTTAATTTTAAAAGAATTAATAAATAATTAAATTTCGAATTGAAAATCTATAAATAAATTAAACTCCTTTTTTCACCAATTTTTTTTCCTTTACTACTATTAATTTTCTCTTCTTCTCTTTATACTATAACCATTATTATTATTATTATTATGATAACTTACATATTATATTATTGCATATAATATTATGTGTTTATTGACGTTGACCCAAAAATTCAATATTTTCGGCCTAAAACTTTTCGTTTGGAGGATTGGTAGTTTTCCGGGTAAGTCGATGTAAATTTTCAGTAGTATGCAATACACTTAGAAAATAGATAATATAAATCCATTCAAGAACAAATAACATAAACATTTTGTATTTGATTCAAGATCAAATTACATTATTCTATAAATTAAAGTAAGAAAATGCACAAAAAATGTAAAGAAAAAAATAAATAATTTTGTGGATTGAAATGTTGTTTTCCTCTTTTTTGCACGGCTTGCTACTTTTACAGTAAAAAAAACATCATTTTTCATTACGTAACGCTCGCATTCAACTTTCATAAATGTTCACCCATGATTGCCTTTGGTTAGGGTCACTACCTCCTCTTTAATTAACCGATTAATGGCTACTACTTTCACCATCTAATTGAATGATTAATGGTCACTTACTCTCTTAATAAGAATTAAGGTAGTGGTCAATTAATTCATTGAGTTAGATGAAAATGGTGACCAATTAGTTGATTGATCAATCCTTGAGCTCCATGAACAATCGATGGGGTTGAACCATGATTTTTTACACTAGTATACCCTGGCCTTTAATTTAAGTCGATTAGATTCAATCAATTGACATTTTTCAACATCGGCAACCCACTATTATCGATAGAGTTTATTTTTGTGTGACAACATAATGCCCCATATATTCACAAAATATTGAATATTAGATATGGAGTACATTTTCTATAATATACATGGCATTATATTGTCACACAAAAATAAAGATACCAACACTCCAGGGGATTAAGATACATTGCCAAAAATAAACCTTGGTGACATCATGGAACAAACTCAATTTACTCCCAACCTTTTGATCTTGATCACGGACAGCTTGACTCGCTGATGTTGTGGTTGCTTGTCCGAGGGAAATTTCAGGCTGACAAGAAAGTTGGTTGAGCAGCTATAGTCGATTAAAATAGATTGTTAATCGCACAAATTGCCGCGCCCATGATGTTTAATTTGGAGTTGATTATTTCAATCAAATCGAGAAATGAGAGTATGATAAGATTGGATCAAGTCGCACTATTCGCTATATGGAGTTGACATCGAATGTTTTCGCCAACTTTAGTGAGGCATTTGTTGGTACAGTTGATTGCCAAGTTGATCCGATGGAAGGAAACTTATTGCGGTGAGCTATCATTTTTTGTGGCAAGTTAATCTGATTCTCCTCTTTGGCGATTTAGGTATGTATATTTCACAATATGTATTTCATATCTAATATTCAATATTTTGTGAAATATAAAGGGGCATTATGGTGTCATACAAAAATAAATTCTATTGATAATAGTAGTTCACCTTTGTTGAAAAATGTTATCGATTGGATCAATCAACTTGGTTAAAGGCTAAGGTACACAAGTGCAAGAAATCATGGTCCAACCCAATCGATAATTCATGGAGCTCAATGATTGATCGATAAATTAATTGGTCATTATTCAATGCAAATTGAATAAAGACATTTGGCAAAAAAAATAAGAAAGCAAGTTGTGCAAGAGGGAAAAAACCACACCTTCGTCTACAAATTTTATCATTTTATTTCTTATCTATTGCAATTTTTCTTCTTTTTTATTTTGTTGAATAATGCTAAATCAATACAACTAGTTTGCGCTGTCTTTTTTTTTTTTTTAATTATTATTATTATTATTATTTTTGTGTTATTTATCTTAAACTTATTACATACAATCGGGAATTCGCATTAAGTCAGCCATGAACTCACTGATTCTCCCAACGAAAAGTTTTAAGCCCAAAATTATTTTTCAGACAAACAATCGCATAAAATGACTAAGGGCTTGTTCATTTCGCATTATTGGATGAATGTTTCTTTTATATATGTATATATAATATTAAGTATGGAGATTGTGCTGGTAATATAAGAAAATAATATTTATGTTGAATTGTTAACCTTTTGTGAATTAATAATATATATTGTAATAATATATGTATATTTTATTTTTAAAATAGTACCGTTCCATTAAAAAACTCTATGTGAACAAACCAAGATTGATATAAATTTTTAAGAATTATACATCTATCAATACAGTTGATCTTATATTATACTATACAAATAAAAATTGTGAAAATTTTAATATAACAATTTATTTCTAAAAAAAGCTTAAAATAGTTGATATTGATCGGATTCTCTCTCCAATCCTTCGGATCTTGTCAATTAAACTAATTTATTAATTTAATTAAATAAAAAATTATAAATTTAAAAGATGTAAAATTGAGTATTGGAGTATTTTTTAGTATATTACAAAAAACCAAAAAAAGACTTCGAAATGAGAGAAGGGAGTTTATATTTTTTTTTTGTAAATTTAAATAATAAAATTTGAGAAGAAAATTGAAAAAAAAAACCACTAAACACAACCAAACACGCTCTAAAATAATGTTAAGACCATCCATATATATTGTGGCTGTGGATATTATAATAATAATTTATGGTTATTATTTTTATTATTAAAATATATATTTTTCTGGTTGAAATGCAAAGACACACAAAAAAAAATAATAAAACAAAATAAAATAAAATAAAACGTTTTCGGTACAAGCGTGCGCTGCATTTCCTCACAGAACACGAAAAGACCAAAATACCCTCCAGGTACAAGCCATCTATGCAAGTGGAAGGAGGGACAGCAGGGGTATCATTGTCATAGGAAGCGAAGCTCTATCCAATACCAAGTTCCAATTTCCAAATTCCAATTCCATGTAGGCTGCGTTGAGAACGACAGATGACAGAAAAAGAAAGCGAATCAGGAGTCTTGGGAAATCGCTAAGAAGATGCCACCAAACACAGAAAACGACGCTGTATATCCTTCAGCCCCACATGGTTTATTTACCAATAATATTTGTTTTTGTCGAGTTATATATTGCTGCCATTTTCTCCCCCTTGTTGATTATTGTCTTCTTCGTTTCCGTTTTTCTGCAGTGCAAAGGCCCTCACTGAAGGTACTGATTTTCTTTTATTTGCTTTTTAGCTTAGTTTTTGTTGTCATTTTATCAATTACTGTGTCTGATTGTATTTGTTTCAAAGTTTTGGCTTACAAGTTTTCATTATATTTCTTATATACACGAAATTTTTTGAGTTGGACTTAGGGCAGAGTTGTAATGATGCAATTTGTTCTTTTGGTGGAAGATTAAGGTTTTGTGTATAAAATATAAAGCATTGTGATTTGGTTATTTATTGTTGAGGGATGTTATGATTTTCAAGGAAATTTGAGTGAGGTAATGATGAAGGTTTGTTTGGTTTTGGTTTGAATAGTATTTTAACATGATCTTTCGTGATAAGAAATAGAGTATTTTTATTAGAAAATCGTATGTGCTAAATAGTGTTATTTGTGTTTGAAACACAAACCAAACACACAAAATTTCAAAGGAAAATATGAATTATTGAGGTATTTGGTTGCTAGTGTTTCGGCTACTGAGATGTGTTTTGTTGTCTTGGCATGAGAAAATTTGTGTAGAACTGTATGGAACACTGACTATGCTCTCAAATTTGTGACTTGTGATCTTTTATCGATTTGACTACCGTGATCAGAAGTTACATATGGAATAGTTTTACAGCTAGGGTTTTGTTATTATTTGATATTAGATAGAATTAGAGATTTGGTAAATTCCAATGGCTTCTTTTTAGGAAATTTAAGATTTGAATTTAAATGTAAATGGTAATGAAAAAGTTCAGGGGCTTTGAATCTAAAGAAAGGTAAAATAGTAAGCTTTCTGCATAAAAGCCTGGATCAATGTGGCTGGCAGTGTAGCAATTGTAAACCCTTGTTCGGATAAAAGAAAAAAGAAAAGGAAATGCTATTGTTGCTATTGAATGAGGATTGCTTAACTTGTTTGGTTTCCATGGAAGATATGTAAAATAATATGCTATTTAAGCTCACTCTTATAAATGTAGTTGGTGACATTGAGCATGACCAAACCTCTGAATTGTTGTTATATAAGGTATTAAATTCTTAATACGTTAATGCTGTGACGTCTAATAGCTGGGTGAGTGCTTTAAGTGAAAGCTCATTTGTGTATGGAGCAATTAAAGAATTGAGAGTGAAGATGGAAAGCATTGATAATCTTGTCTCCTCTTTAAACATTTGTGATGTCTACTGTATTTTGAATACGTACTTTGATTCTCCCTATTCTTGTGTTTGTGAAAAATTGCTCCAATGTGATAATAGAAGCTTTTGATTCTTGAATTCTTTTTTCTGGTTCAATATACCTAATTAATGACAAGTCCTTGTGCCTGTGATATTATAAGTTTCACTTGTTGCGTTGGAGAACCCAACATTTTCATTGGTTTTTTTAGATTTATGTGAACTAAATATATGCATCCTGGTTTTTAGCAGTTGGATTATAAAAAGGAAAAAAAAACCCGGTTTCAGTATGAATTTCTCCATGTAAAATTCCATTTCACTGAAAGAGTTGCAAAGGGTTGACATGTTTCATTTGATTGCACATCATGTAGAAAATCTTGTGTAGCGTAGCATACACAGATTTAAAATTTAAATCCAGCAAAGCCTGATCTTGTTTGACTATACTTTCGATGCTAGCTTCAAAGGGCAGTTATAACGTACAAACTGCCAAAACGATACAACTGAAGGAATGACCTTTAAGTCAAGACATGACAGAAGTTAACAGTAGAACATCCCATTCCAAGGAAAACGGTCATTTGGCGAGTTGCATATCTTCCAATATGCAGAATGAGCCTGTAGAGGGTAAGAGCAAGGGAACTTCAGTGTTCGTCAATTGCGGTAGGTGTTGCTTACATCCTTCTATTTGACATGTGAATTATAAAATTATCAAGGCATTCAAACTTAGGCAAATATAGGTAGGTTACGTAAACATTTTCTTTTGCTGATTCTCATAAATATACAGAAATGGTGTGCCTCATAAACATGAATGTGTTCTGTACACAGTACACACACATGTTATACTTTTCCTTTGTTGTGAAAATATATTTTAGCATTTTGTCATTATATCGTCAATGTGTTTAGTTTCTGAACTTTGAAGCATCGGTCATAGATAAGAACAGTATAAATGAACTATAAAGTTTATTATATAACCTGATTGTATCCTTGAGACTAAGGAACCATTTTGATTGGATTTTTATTTTTTGATTATAGAAAGGAGAAAAGTTAAAAAAGAAGCCAAACAGTGTTTGGTTTGGTTTTCCCATTGAAGAAGCCTTAAAAGGGCCCGCAAAAGGATTTATTTTATTATTGTAAATGACCATAGTTGACATATATGAATTACAATATATGTTATTTTTAAAGCTTATATAAGTACTTATATAAATTTCAAATATATGAATACTATTATTAATTATATGAAAATTAATATATATTATTATCTATATTAGTTTATTGAAATTTTATATTTAGATTTATATATCTATAACTTGCTTTATTATTATTATTATTGTTGTTGTTATTAATTTTACTTTTGTTTATCTATCTTTTATGAAATAAAATTAGAAGCTAATATAATTGGATTTCAGGGATTTTATTATTCACCTGCTTCTGTGCTTCTGAAAGAAACTGGTTTTACTTTGGCTTTTAAGCAAAGCCAATTCAGCCAATTATTTTATTTTTATCGAAATGTATATATAGTTCTTCAAAAGCCGAAAGTAGCCCTTATAAGTCAATCCAAACGGGACCTAGTTAGTTATTAAATAATCATTCGGGGCTTCAATTCCATCTGATGAATTATGAATGGCATAAAATATGTAGCTGCAAAAGGCCTGCATTATGTCGATAACTTACCTATCTATGATATGTAGCTGCTATTTCATGGGATGAAAGCCGAAGAAAATGGATGGGGGAGTCATCTCAGAAGCTGCAAAGAACACCTAAAGATCCAGTTATTAGGTATCAAAACTAATCTCCTTATTTTCTGTAAAAAATGTTCAATGCGCTTATTATCAACATAGTTGTAGTATCTTGAACACTTTAAACTTTCCTTTATTGTATCAAAGCAATGGGCATGCGACAAGAGGTTCATTTTCCCCTAATCAATAAATAATTACTTTGCAAAATTGCAACTCATCATAATAATGAATGTAATACTCCGTAAAATTTTTTCCGGAAGTTCGCCGGAGCTTTCCGGGGTCCGATGCCGGAGTCAGACAATATTATTTGGGGCTTTAGTTGTTTGGGCTTTTGGTGCGAAAAATGATATAATTGGATCAAAATTAAAAGTATTAGAAGTATTTGGATGTTTGGGCCAAAGATTGGGCCCAAAAGGAATAAAAAAAATTAATTAGGAAGACTAGGGGGTTGTGGGTCGTTTGGCGCCTATCGCAAATTAATAAATAAATCAACTTACGTGTACTTTGGGCTTTGAACCCCTAGTTACACATTGTAGAGCTTTTCTTGAGGGCTGTGACCCAGTATTTGTTATGTGTAATTATGTGATGTGTCAAACGAAGTAATAAGGTTGGAAAAACGGGTCGAGCCGGTCCTAATTAAGGCCTAGTGGAGTTTTCTTTCATCACAATTACTTGAGAATAAAAAAGAGATATAAGGTAGGCGTTAAAACACTTGTGTGCGTGAGCAATCCTTATGTGATATTTTATTTAAATTATTTTCTTCAAATGATTTTGTGGCATTTACATGTGAATCATGACTTATATCGTATTAATTTATTTTCGATTAATTGCGCTTACCCAACCGTTGTGTTGACCATTTTCCTACAACCTTCTTGTAAGTGACGGTGCTTCTGTTATACTGAAATGATACATCCACTTATATGATCCATCGAGGAAACTATAACTACTTTATCTTCTAAAATGCTTTTGAAATTCAATAATTATGTTTAAGGACCAATGCCTTTTGAACTATTTCCAATTTATGTTTTTTTTACTCGAATTTTACTCATTTAATTGATAAGCCAGTGCGCTTTAATTTTAAATCCCTATTTAGTTGTTTGTATTCATTATTTTAGCCTTAGCGCCACAATGTAGAGCTCGTTGGTTGATGAACGAGCCTTCCGGTGTGGTGTGGCGGTGACACTCCGGTTTGAGCCAGCCGGGGTGTTACAATGAGACATTATGTTTACATATACTGCAAGAACTTGGCTTAATGCTAATGCATGATTTGATTGCTTGACATTTTTTTAATCAATGTATTATTCTTTGATGCTTAATTATTGAACTTGCAGCTGGTCCACGACATACGAAGATCTGCTATCAACAAATGATCCATTCTCTCAGAAAATTCCTTTACCTGTAAGTTATTTTTGTTGTTTTCAAATTTTTATTATTTTATTATTTTATTTTATTTTTATTATTATTATTTTCATCTATTTATGACATTCTTAGTTATTCATCTGTCCTATACTCAGGGAAGTTCGCATTCTATGTATTTGCAGGAGATGGTTGATTTTTTGGTTGATATCTGGCATGATGAGGGGCTTTTTGACTAATTACTCTTATTGATGTAAGTTCGAATGCCTATCTTCTGAAATACACGATATAGTCATAGTCCTCGATCATGAACATAACTTATCTCGGTGAATATTGTCACATCTTAACAAACTGCATAATAATATACAAAGGTCTAGCATGGTAGAAGAGAAGCTACTACTCTAATACAAAAATAATTATGTATTATGAACTTGTCCAAATGCTGTTTGAATTGTACAACAGCTTTCATGATTCAATAAGAATAGTGTTTAGTAATATTGTCAGATTTTTGTAGATGTTTTGCTTAATAACCTATTTTTGTGGATGCCAAGTTTATCATCACTCTGCTACTATTTTTGCAATCCGCAAAATAGTATTTTGGGCTTTGTTTACTATGTAGGATTAAATCATAAACTATGTGGAATTGTGGATTGCTAAAGTTTATCACCACTTTATGCTAGAAGTTTTTGCAATAGGCAAAATTGTCACACTAAAAATACATGTATGCATGTATGTATGTATAAATTTGAGTCCTGCAATTTAAATAAACCTGTATCTGTGCTAAAAAAGTTAGGTAGTCTTAGTTCTAATTTTATTTGCAATTAAAAGTATGATGTTTACACGCGTAGCATTTAATTTTGACGTTTGATTGCATTGTTGAACTCGTAAATTCTATTAATTTTACGATAAAACAATACCATAAATTTGCTACATTTTTTTTTTTATGTTTGGTTGTTATTACTATTATTCTTATTTTGGGAATTGTAGCAATACAATGTTTATTTTTCCAAAGCTCTGAATTGAGCTGAAGCATGCATAATTTATGTATTTATTTTAAAATACAATGGTGAATCCTTAGCTGTAGTTGATTGTTTAGAACAAATTGAATCAAGCTTATCAAATCAGATTAGAGTAGCTTGTTTGGATATTAGCTTAAGATCTTTTTAACTCCAAAGGAAATAGGGTTAGGCCAACAAATAACTTTTCTAGTAACAACTATAATCCAATCGAGTCTGTTAATCCTATTTACATACAAAGACTTGATTCAGTTTACATCTATCGCAAATTATGTTAATTATCACGTTCTTTAATATTCTTCAGTAGCAACAATGCATTAAGGAAGCCCTTTTGTTAGTGTAATACTTTTCATTCTCTAATCGATGGCATCCCATATTTATAGTGAAAAATTGCACTGTGAGCAAAATTTAGATTGAGATTACTAGAACATTATCGGTGACTAATTTGGTTCAAACATGTTTGTTTTAGATGTAATGCTAGTGATGATTTTAAAGAGGGTTACTTTTGCATTGTGCACTGTATAAACTCTTCGATTTATCAAAAAACTCTTGTCTGATGATTATTATTATTTTGCTAACGGACAACTTAACATGAAAGTCCGAGATATTATTTGGATATGCCATTAAAATGATACTGAAAGGATCTATAAATGGATTTCAAAATGTTCACTAGGTGCGGTATCTAAATGTGCTTTGCATATCTTATTGAGCAAATACGGGTTATGTTTTGACATCGAAAGAGTTGGATATTGTGGAATAGTGGAAACATCTAATTCACATGTACATTTAACGCCCGAGAGCTAATAGGATATTGTGGAACAATGGAAACATCTAATTCATGGATATGCTGATAGGATTAATCGATTTAGACATAACTAACATAGTATAGATCACATAGATCTATCTAGTCGAAGATACGGTTAAGATGAGGTAAGTGAACCTCCAATTCAATTTGGGGAGTCAATTCACCTTGAACTTGTGACTATTGGTTTGTTAGGCTTATTCAAGGTTGTTATGGCGCCCTTTTGCGGTGCCGCGCGGGGGACCGCCGTACCGCCATGACAACAAAATGGCGAGCACGGTGCACTATATATGAAATTATATATTATAGATCTTACAATTTCTTACGTTATAAATTTTTTATTAATCTTCATAGTTTCATATGCCTTAAATCATTACATAAAATATAATACCATAAAAAATATAAGTCCAATCATCAAACAAAACAAAATACTATCAATAAAAATCTCCAAATTATGTTTGTTTGGGGGATTGGATTGGATTTACACTGTTCATCCAATTTTTTTCCCCCCTCCCCTCCCCCAAAAACATCAAATCAAACATCTATTTTTCATTTTTTTATATTATACTAAAAATCAATTTTACATTCAAAACATCAAATCAACACCTATTTATATCACATCATACAACTATTCAAATTCAAAATTTTTACTATTTAAATCTCAACTCAAAATTCAAACCCCCAAACAAACACACACCAAAATGTATCGTCTTAAGTCTCAATCATAAAAATTTCAAGTCCACCACTACAACTAGGAAAATTATCTAAATCATCATCATCATCATCATTAATATCATCATCTAATGATACATTTTTATCATCTAGTTCTTGCTCCATCAATACCGAAGTTGAGGTTTTTTTGGGGCGTCTAGAGTATAGTTGTATTGATGAACCATGTGTCGTTGATATTTCCATTTTTAGGAATATTGCAGGTTCAAGATTGACTCATGACTCTATGCAAGAGCTCCCGGATGAACCACCTCATTTGTGTGGAGAACCCATTCAAATTCATCCAACAACAAATGATTAAAATTCTTTCATTCCTCGCGCCTTCTTTGCAATCTATTCGCAATTTTCCGGTTGTATCGAACGAAGACTAGATCGTTCAATTTCTTACGCTCCAATCAATTTATTTATTTATTTATTTTTATGTGGATCTAAAAAAACTAGATGATAATATATTACCATGTGAATTTTAATATATTTATGTAAGTACTTACAAATTTGAATGAGCTCCAAGTGCTTTCACATTCAGAAGATGAACAACAAAGATTAATTATGCGAAATGCAAATGATTGGAGCTAGATATGAAAGCCTCCAAAAGCATTCCGCCAATCAACTAGCACTTACGAGAACTTTTTGTATTTTGTTGCCTCACAACCAACTGTTTTCCGAAGCATCCTCGCATATTATCGTAATTATCGACTTGATCACATATCTATGTTTTCAAATCATCATCCGTGATCATTTTCTCAAGAACATCATTAAACATAGTTTGTTCCTTGCGAACATTTGAATTATTACTCACCTTGAGACCAAAGCACTTGGAAGGATTAAAAAACAATGCAGACCTATATAAATCAACTTCCATTTGATCTTTCCATCGGCTATCGATAATTAACTTCAGTAAACAAAGTTGCATTTTTCTCCAAATCTTCTTTATTTTTCTTTTAGCTTCATTCATCGCTACGACAAGCTCCGACATTGCTGGCTTCTCATCCCCATCAACTATCCTAAAAAATTAGAAATTGATACAATGTTTTTATACCGTACTCCATGTCAATCAAAAAAAGAGAAGACAATACCGTTGTTGCTACTAATCTCCCGGCATTTGTATTTGCCAATTTTTAAGTAGTCCAACATTCGCTAAAAAATAAGCTCCTCAAAGCATCTCTATGCTTATATAAGCTCCGCAAAGTTAAAAATGTAGTAGCAAACCGGATAGACCCATACCTCACAAGATCTCTGCCACTTGTCTTATCCCTCGTCGTATTAAGAAGTCTCACGTGTTTATAAATGTACAAGTAACTCTTTTTGCATTGTCAATCTTTGCTCGAAAGACTGGCAATTTTCCGATGTTTTCCAATATAAGATCAAGACAATGAGCTGCATAAGGAGTCCAATATAAAGTCGATATACGCTGTTCCCACGCTGCCTTGAAATTATCCCTATTGTCGGTTACTACCTGCACCATGTATTCTTTGCCAATCTATTTAATCTATGTGTGAAGTAAATCGGCCAGTAATGATGCAACTTGAGCCTGATTTGATACATCAACCGACTCAAAAAAAAAAGTACCTTCTAGGCTATTGACAAGAAAATTAATCAAATGTTACCCTGTTTTATCTGTCCACCCGTTAGTTACAAGGGAACAACTGTATTGCTTCCAAGCAATAACATGTTTTTCCTTCAGTGTTTGTGTCTTTTTTCACTGTCTTCTTTAAAAGATGAACTCGTAATTCATGATAACAATGTTGTGTTCTTTAGTGGATTTTACCAAAGATTTTTAGTATTCAGATTTTTTTTCTCTGAAAAATATATCAAATCAAACAATTATTTTTTTTTATACATTATATTACAAATCTATTTTACCTTCAAAATATTACATGAACATTTATTTATACCACATCAAACAACTATTTAAATTCAATTTTTTACTATTAAAAATTTCAAACAAAAATCCAAACCCACAAGCAAACACACACCTTTTACACCAGGTCTCATCTGTCACACCGACTCAATCATTAACTCAAAAATTCAAGATTTTGCCGCATTAAATGGTATGTCATTTTCACAAAAAGAAAATTCGGCAATGTGTTCATGAAATTTTTTGATCTCCTCTTTGCTCTTTGTACACGCTTCCAACGTTCTTTGAGTGTCACTACTCTCTTTGTTGGGACTTTTCCTCAATAATTTCTTTCGGGGTTTTTCTAAACATTGAGACAACGGACTTGTTTTTTTTTCCCACTTTGTGATGGCTGGTGGAAAATTTAGGATGATTGCAAACGTTTCCTTTTGTTCAAGGTCCCCAAACTGGGATGAGAAACATGTTTGTATGATACTCATTGTCTTGTTCATTTCACATTTACATCACAACCAATGTCATTGTCAAAGTCGTTGTCATCTAATGCAACATGACTGGGCTGTTTTTCTACCATTTTTTTTTTTAAGAACTCTTGCATCTTATTCCATATTTATTCGTTAGTCTTCGGACATTTTTGTACATCTCTAGAATTGCCTAGCAAGTGTTGTTCAGTCGTTTTATTCCCGATCGTACTTGCTTATGGTAGAGCGAGCATTCTACAAAATCTCTATTTTCCAAATCCGGCCAAAGAACATATTTTCAACCAGGATCCCAAAAGCAAAGTCAAATAAAATGATCTTGAATGGAAATATGCTTGTTGGCCGGATTTTGGAAATAGAGATTTGGTAGAATGTTCGCTCTGTCACAAGCAAGTACAATCGAGAATAAAACGACTGAAATAACATTTTCTAAGCAATTATGGGGATGTAGAAAAATGTTCGAAGAACATTGAAAAAATCCAGAATAAAATGTAAGAATTCTTAAAGAAAAAAACGGTAAGGAAACAACAAAGTCATGTTGCATTAAATGACGACAACGTTGATGATGACATTGGTTGTGATGTGAATGTGCAAGAAACAAGGCAATGATATCG